ATTCTCTGCTTTAGGAAAATTATACAGCTTGGCAGCTTTGATACGCAAGTTATTGTTTGTACCCGCCAATTGAACAAGTTTTTAACATAGTTAGGCCGACCGTATCTCCACATCGGTCAAGCATCCACCCTAATAATGGGGATAAATCAATCTTAATTCATGACATGACAATAGATTTTTGCAATAACCACTGGCTTACTGACGAGGATCGGATTTACATAAAAATGAACAAGGGACTATTAACAACATGCTGAAATTTGACCTTTTTTCAATCTATTACAGGTCCAAGTTGTGCGGAATTTTACGTATATTTGAAAGACATCATCTTCAAATACATAAACAAAAAGTTATATGACTACAATGCGCGTACATTCAAATATGTATCAAAGTAACAAAAGCACATCTCTTATCGCTATCAACATATTGATAACGTGTAATGCTCAATAAATGAAAAAAAAAATCGTAGGGCCCACTAAAATGTTACGTAATGCAACAGATTGCTTTTCAGTACTATCCACCTCTACATAACGTACTTTTCTTATATGTACTTAATAAAGGGTTGCAACAATTTGCCATACCAATCCATCCCCTGCATGCACGGCCAATGAGAACGACTCAAAATCTGGGTTTAGTCTGTCCACTAGCGCACTTCTAAACCTGTGTACAATTTTCTTAAATTTTCCTCATATTCATGAAGTTTTCCCCGGGAAAGTGTCTCTAAATTTATTCACACTATGAGTGTGAACGTTTTAGCGATTTTAAGTAATCTATACATGTGCGATTGGTTTGAAAAGTATTTTTTCGAAATCATTAAAAATAAACTCACGTCGACCCACGCCGCCACGCCGCCGCCGCCGAAAGTAAACGGCGTGACGCCGCCACGCCGCCGCCGCCGAAAGTAAACGGCGTGACGCCGCCACGCCGCCGCCGCCGGCAGAAAATAACATATCACGCCGCCGCCGAAAATATTTTGAACGGCGCACAGGTCTAGTCTTAACCACTTCAAACTAGGGAACAACGAATAGAAGATTAGGAATCACATAGATGAACACTAACTAACTTTTTGTTTTCCTTTTTTCAAGATCATCTTCGATACACAAAGCCGAGTTTTGTCACTATCAACAAGGCATAAAAAGTAACCAGGACTAAGATGTTTTCCTTTTACTGAAAAATCCTGTTCCCCTATTTTGAAGTAGTCAGGACTAGGAATCGGAGGTAGATCTTACATCCCGTAACGTACCACGAAAACTTGATCTACCCACGTTACGGGGCTAGAGCCTGCCATAAAGGTATGCTTAATAGTTGGGTCTATGGAGATAATGGGCAGGTTCCAACCCCTGGCTCCAACCCAGTGGACTGTGGACACTGGGGGGGGGGGGGGGGATGGGTTTGCCTAGTCAGCAATTATAGCGTGGAGCTGGTTTGTTTCCTCTAGGAGGAACACTCCGTCACTCGATCCAGTAGTTTTAGGAAGTTGACGGCTCGGCGGCAGATGGTGAGTGTGATGAGACGGTTAAAAAGAAGGACTCCTCCCTCGATGCATGCTGCCAAACCCTGAGTTGACGGGAGTAGACCAGAGGTAGTTCGGATGGCTCTTTGATATACAGGAGTGAGTTTCTCGATGAGAGCTGTTCTGGCCATGCAGGTTAACTCGATCCCGTAGGTGAGCCGTGTGTTGATGATCGCTTTGGCGATTCGGGTCCGGAGGTGCCGATTGCTATCTGGGTGGCGTCTGGCGATCGAGCGAATAAGGTTCAACCTTGACTGGCAGTAAGATTTCACCTCATCGAAGTGGGGTACGAACGAAAGGCTGCGGTCAATTCGAGCTCCCAAAATCTCGACGGTTTTATGCTGCGGGATGGCCTGAGATCCGATGGTGATCAGTGACGTCAGGGATTGGTGGGTATGGCACAGATGTGCGCGAAAGCGCTCTTTCCAGCCGACAACTGAAATGTTGTAAATGTGGTTGACGTCTTGGGACAGTTTAATACGGAGGATTTTTATTGTGTTTAACAGATGTTTTAATTTGGCATGCTTTCCTAATAAATGAAAAAAAGAATGCAAAAGTTAGGCCGGAATTTTTAAGCTGGATTAAAATCCAGCTTAAGATTCTAGCTACCGCCCAATAAGTTTGCTTTCTTCAATAAGTAAAATTTTTGAAAAAAAAAAATTGGAATAGAATGATGCTTTACATTAACACGAACTCGATTTTTGCAGATGAGCAGTTTGAATTTCACCATGGGTATTCAACTACTCATCAACTCTTAAGAATAACCAATTTAATTCGTTCAAACAAATCGGATACATAATTCGGCATCATTTAAATTTGTATGATGAAGCTCCGTTTATGTGTATAATATGTAACTGAAATGTACACATCTTTTTCGAACAGTTTACCTACCTAGTTGCGTTTGTAATTTTCGAACAGTTTACCTACCTAGTGAGCATATAGTAAAATGTTCTTTTTTGACGTATAAACACGCACAAATGTTTTATCACGTGTTCAAATTCTAAAGTTTGTTACCTACACTTAACGCTTCAGCAAACCGGGTTGCTTTGTTATTCCCACTTTCCCGTAAATTGCGACACCTATGACGTAGATGTTCTATCGATTTCTGGTCAAAAGCTATCGGATATCGTGTCAATAAATATGACCTGAAAATATCGATATTATCGATATTTTCTATGTCTGTTCAGCCCTAGAATGAACCATATAAACCCTGTCATTATGCACTTTTCAAGGATCAATAATAAATCATCATATGCATTATTAATTACAATTAACAAAAGTTAACAACAGACTTCCAGCTGCAACGATTTAATCATTTAAATGAAATTCAATTGCAGGAATTAATTATTAATTCAATGTAGTAAATAATTCAAAACAAATAGTAATTACTAATGAGTATAACCTAATTATCTCAATACTATAAAAACAATACGTCCGACGCATTCCAATGCAAATAATTATAATCGCAATGTTCGATAGCACATCAATCGTAAAAGGATCGTCCGAAGAGCTAAGGCAGTCATTTCACATAGTTATCAAAACTATCTACCTCGTCGGATTCAACCCATTTCAAGCCAATCATGATGTAAACGTAAGATTTATCATCACTGTACTAGTGCTACTCGGCATCTACTTTATTTGCATGTACACTGTATGGATACTGCGCTCAGAATGGGCAAGCTGCCATTGAGGTATTGCTGTCCCTGATTATGAACTGCATGGGAACCTGTAAAGTTTGGCTAGGATTCGTACGAAAGCATTCTTACTATTTACTGTTTGTCAGAACGGAGTAAATAGGGGAAATGGCTCTAATGTTGGATCTAAGATTGGGCGCATCGCTAAAAATTTGCTATTTATTTATTTTATCTAGAAGGGATGGTGCTAATGGACATTTTTCGTCGCTATTGAAAATTTAGTCGATTGCTGAATTTATGTATGGGCGCAAATTAGGGGTTTTTAGGCCGACATTACAGTGCTTCTATGTTTTGCAATTATGCTTGTAATTGAGGTTACGAAAGAGACGTTCCTCGTGATCAGAATCTATGTTCCATTTGTGGATCCAATAACACTGACCGATTATTTAATCACAACGAACGTACCCGTGATTCTGGTGGCATATTGTGTGAATGGTTTCCTGGTTGCGGATTCTGCCTTCTTGGTAACCGTTTTGCCCATAGTAGGATACGCGAATACTTTCAAAAAGTAAGTAGATACCTTGAACCAATTACTGGAAAACCCAACCGTAGATAACAGGCAATCTTCCGTACTTGCCTGAATGCTCATAAACCACGTATAACGTTTTTGTTTAGATTTTAGTTTAGTTTAGAAATTTTGCAGATTGGTTGCCATATACTCTTCTAAACTTTATGCGTTATTTACGTGCCATGACAAAATTACGAATGAAGTAAGGGGGAGTTTCTCACTGCTTGTACTTCAGCAATATCTTAAGCAAGGATGTTGAAAATAAATGAAGACGAATTATTTAAAGAAAGATCTTACTATGTAAAAACAACATTAAGTCAGTTTGTCCCATTCATTCTAAGGTGAAGTTACAGTTCTGCTTTTAAAGTTGCGATATTTAACTTGAAAACAAAAATAATGCATTTACTACGATTTGTCAAATATTTTCGTGGGAATCATACTTCGTAGCTTCGACTGCCATTTTCTCAATGCCTATTTTTCCCATATGGTACTGATATGGGATTATAGGCAGCCTTGTGGGAGAAGAGCGTATTGCATAATGCTTACATAATGATTGAATAATCCTTTAAATGATATTCTAGGGGATGTTCATAAACTACGTAGACGTTTTTTTTTTTTGGGATTTGAGATAATTGCCCATGCATTTTTTTTTTGTATTTGTAAGGACGGGAGATAATTCCCACGCCCCTCTAGGAAAAAAGAAATAAGTTCACGGTTATGTATTCCCAAGTAAATCTGTCATGAAATTTATCTTAATCTGTTCAGTGATCAATGTTCAGTCGGATAAGCAGTGCAGATAAGGGTGTGACCGTATTTCAGCATGCCTCACTTCACTTCAGTACAAGTCCCTTAAATCACACACTTAGAAATAACTAATTTTACAAGTGACGGAATCCATCCAATAAATTGTGCACGGCTGTCAGACGACTGCACACTTAGAAAAAAACATGTACATTTAGGTGCTCTGAGAGTGACATATACGAGCGTCAATTTTGACATAAATTTGAGTCATAACAGACGCGAAAAATAGCTCAATCAAACGTACTTTTCGTCGAGCAACGAACTTTTCAGTCTCGGAGTACTTAATATTACATGACATGTTTGTTTTTCGTCTCATCTTTTATGTCAAAGACGTTAGTTATTTCTAAGTGTGTAGTTTTATAAGAAGATCATTAAAATTAAATAGCCACATATAATATTCGATGAAAAATAAATTAATAATAAGCCATACAGTTGATTCACACCCATAAAAGTGCTAAGGCTAAGCAATTCCACATTCTAGACTTACCATTTTATTGTCGTGCACATACTCCTCGTATAGGTCCTTGATGAGCATCTCCAAGGTCCGTTCCCGCTTCCGGGCAAACGTTGGCGTCTGGAAGGTAGCCTTCTCCCCGTTAATCAATTTCACCAACAAAAAGTCCCGGAACACGGCAGGATCCTGTTACCACACAGTTCGGACGCAGAAAAATAAAATATATGGAAACGGAAAGCAATTATTTCGATAATACAACCGACACCCCACCGCTAACGGCTGCTCATATTGGCACTACCGCAGGAAACATACCATGTTTTGATACACAACAAAAAAATAAAGGTCAAACGTACGGAAAACAAATTGCCAAATGCTTCCAGTACACACGTCAATCAAAGTCACGTGTTTGTTTGTGTTTGTGTGATAGGTGGCATCGTCCGACAGCGGCCAGCGGGAGAGCTCCCAAAAGTGCACGACTATTTTCGGTCAATTGGATTTGCTGTCGGGCAGTCTGTCGTGATTTACGACGAGTTTTGCGGCAAATTAAGCAGGTGATGGACATTTATGTGCCATTAAAAGGCGGATAAGGGAACATACATACCGTGGAAAAATACATTCTTATCAAATCAAGAGCTGACCTTTGTCTCGACGGAACAACAAACAAACAGCTAAGATGATTTGTGCAGAAATAAAAATGTATACTTACTTCGAACTCTGGTGGATTGGGCAGCGTTGGTCCGAATGGTGGTACGGTTTCATCACAGTATACCGAAAGCCGATATCTTCGGCTTCGCTTCGTTACGACGGCAAACACGTCTGAAAGATGGAAAGATTGCAATTAGTCAAAACACAGTCAGAGAACGATTTACATGTAAATCAAAATAATATATGACTTGTAGCTAGTGGGTCCGAACCAAAGTTATCGATAAACAATTGTATCCACAATTTAAGGTACACCAGGGCAAGTGGGAACGCGGAGTAAGTGGGAACGGCAATCGAGATTTTCGACAATTGCTCATTACAACTAAAATTTTATTATTCGGAATTCGGCCCGAGCAAATCATAAGTGTTCCTTTTGTCACTCGATGCTCGCACCAGTCGGGAGGAATAAAAAATAAACTAAAAAATAAAAATAAAATATTCAATACATATTTTTACATCACATCTAAACCGTATATTTCAAGCGTTTACATTACTTCTTAACCTTCGCTTTAGTCTTATACTTCATTGAAGCCATGATTTTGGACAATAATGCATAACAGAAGCCACAAATGTTGACTTTATTATGTGAAACACTCGGGTTATCAACAAGACATTTCACGCATTAGTGTGATTTTTGGGTTTTGATCAATTTCGGGTAAACCATCAAGCGGAATACCACAAACGTAATAGTTCTTATAAAAAACGTTCTAATTTCGATAGTTCCTCCTTATTCAAATATTACATGGTAGAAAAGGAAACCCAAATTTCTAAAAATACACTTTTAGAATTACAAACCCGGTTCAACCTTCACGTATGGATTCAGCAAGGTCCATTCAATAAAGTACAAGCTTATTTTGGGCTACAAAATGGTGAGTTGACAACCTGGAAGGAGCGGAATACCTAGCCCTGGTCCTCACAAGTTCCTACTTCACCAAGCCCGAGCGTCTGTTCACCATGGAGGTGCGGCTCAAAACGGCGTCTGTTCTCCATGTTAGGAGCGGCTGATCACCGTCCTAGTGCCAGCGTGGGACTCTTAACAGAGCTGTGCACGATGGTCGAAAAAAAAACAAAGTTGCAAATACCGAAGAAAGAAATACGGATCGGAACAATCGTCACAGACCCACGCGACGAAATAAGGACTGCGATTGGAAACTCGGAACATGGAACTGCAAATCGCTCGGCTTCCCGGGTTGCGATAGGTTAATCTATGACGAACTTCAACCACGCAACTTCGAAGTCGTAGCACTGCAGGAACTTTGCTGGACGGGACACAAGGTATGGAAAAGCGGGCATCGAGCGGCAACTTTCTACCACAGCTGTGGCACCACCAACGAGCTGGGAACCGGCTTTGTAGTGCAGGGTATAAGATGCGCCAATGCGTGATTGGTTGGCAGCCGATCAACGCGAGGATGTGCAAGTTGAGGATTAAGGGCCGTTTCTTCAACTACAGCATCATCAACGTGCACTGCCCACACGAAGGGAGACCCGACGACGAGAAAGAAGCGTTCTAGCGCAGCTGGAGCAGGTGTACGACAGCTGTTCGCAACGGGACGTCAAAATCGTCATCGGCGACATGAACGCTCAGGTAGGACGGGAGGCAATGTATAGACCGGCAATCGGGCCAAACAGCCTGCATGCCGTATCGAACGACAACGGCCAACGATGCGTGAACTTTGCAGCCTCCCGGGGTATGGTAGTTCGAAGTACCTTTTTCCCCCGCAAGGCTATCCACAAAGCCACCTGGAGATCACCTGACCAACACACAGAAAACCAAATCGATCACGTTCTAATCGACGGGAAATTCTTCTCCGACATTATCAACGTCCGCAGGTCGGACCACTACCTAGTTGCAGTATGCATGCGCTCAAAACTCTCGACGGTGCATAACACACGTCGAAGTCGAACGCCGCGACCCAACATTGAGCAACTACGGGACGCCGGAGTTGCCCAGGACTACGCGCAGCAGCTGGAAGTTGCACTACCCACGGAAGAGCAGCTTGGCGCAGCTTCTTTTGAAGATGGCTGAAGGGACATCCGTTCAGCCATAGGTAGTACTGCTGCAGCGGCACTAGGTACTGCAATCCCGGACCGAAGAAATGACTGGTTTGACGGCAAATGCAAACTGTTAGTAGAGGAGAAGAATGCAGCACGGGCGAGAATGCTGCAACACCGCACGAGATGGAATGTGGAGCGATACAGACAAGCGCGGAACAGACAAAACTCGGTTTTCCGAAGGAAGAAGCGTCAGAAGGAAGACCGAGATCGCGAGGCGATGGAAAATCTGTACCGCGTAAACGACACACGGAAGTTCTACGAGAAGCTAAATAGTTCGCGCAAAGGCTACGTGCCGCAAGCCGATATGTGCAAGGACTTGGACGGTAACCTTCTCACGAACGAGTGTGAGGTGATTGAGAGGTGGAAGCAGTACTATGACGAGCACCTCAACGGTGAAGCAGCAGAAAACGAAGGTGGCACGGCAACAGACCTTGGAGCACGCGCAGAAGACGACAGGCTACTGGCCCCTGATCTTCAAGAAGTTGAGGAGGAGATCGGTCGGCTGAAGAACAACAAAGCAACTGGTGTAGATCAACTACCAAGTGAGCTATCAACGCATCAAAGACAAAATACATGAAAGGAAGAGGTTCTAGGGAAGACAATGTTAGCCTCCCACCCCTAGTTCAGATTGACGGTGACGAAATCGAGATGGTCGATGAGTTCGTGTATTTGGGCTCACTGGTGACCGCCGAAAATGATACCAGCAGAGAAATTCAAAGACGCATTATGGCAGGGAATCGTGCCTACTTTGGACTCCGGAGGACGCTCCGGTCGAATAAAATTCGCCGCCGCACGAAGTTGACTGTCTACAAGACGCTGATTAGACCGGTGGTCCTTTACGGCCACGAGACCTGGACTATGCTCGTGGAGGGCGCGTTGGTGTTTTCGAACGGAAGGTGTTGCGTACCATCTACGGTGGAGTGCAGATGGATGCATGACGGAACGTGGAGGAGGCGAATGAACCACGCATTGCACCAGCTGCTGGGAGAACCATCCATCGTCCACATTGCAAAAATTGGGCGACTAAGGTGGGCTGGGCACGTCATAAGAATGCCGCACGACGACCCAGTGAAAATGGTTCTCGAAAGCGACCCAACAGGAACAAGAAGAAGAGGCACGCAGCGGGCAAGGTGGATCGACCAAGTAGAAGGTGACCTGCGGACCCTTCGCAGACTACGAGGCTGGTGAACTGTGGCCATGGATCGAGTAGAGTGGAGACGAATTCTTCGGACAGCAGAGGACAACAAGGCTTTAGTCTGATTGGCAAGGTAAGTAAGTTATTTTTCAAAGATATGAGCCGAAATGCAATTTGGCAGAGCCTAAAAAAAACAAATTTCTATGAAAATAAGTAGGGATTCAGCAATTCTATAGGAGATCAAAAGCAAAACAAACTGTATTGTGGTGACACCTACGTTCCGGTTCAGTAACTAAAAACGTGATGATAGTTTTGTTTTTATTGAATGGAGGTAATACGGAACTACTGAAAAATAATTGTTAATCACTGCGAATTTCACGGGTTTCTATAATGAAACTAGGCAGAAATGGTAATAAACATATCAACTACTCTATCAAACACATTGTATAGGCATTTTAAAGAATAATCCGATGGAAAATTTTGATCCAGTTTTCAAATTTGCACTTGATTGTAGTTAAAATCTATGCGTACTGAACGTAGCAATACGCAAGCGGCACAAATCTAAACAGATTGAAAAATATCTTTTGAGTAAATGTGTTCCAGCTGCTGAATATCATGATGTGGATATTATCATAGTTGATATCTTGGACTACGTGGGAAGATTGGTGCGGCCAATCAGAGAAGGGTTCACCGTTTTTGACGTCAACGACGGCATTTTCCTGGGATACCGGAATACATAACCCAAAGCTCCACTCCGGGCCAGGTTTCACACAAACTTTAACTGATCTTGCGTGCCTCGATATAAATTTTTCTCAACTCCAAAAGCCATTTTCCACTTCCGCAGCAATTTCTCACTGGACGGGAAGTTTTTCCTTTGGTTTGTTTTTTTCCGTCGATCTTGTTTTCCGTGCTGAGCACCAATGCTACCGACGTGCCAGGAAGGCAGCTCCCACACCTGGACCCTACCTATCGACCCATTAACTCATGAACCGGGGACCAACGGCTTTACTTCCCATCCGAAGGAAGGCGTGATCAGTGATGTTATGCCTCAGAACATCCCAGCGGCGCCGACTGGGATTGAACCCAGGCCTGCTGGGGTGAGAGGTAATCACGCTTACCACTACACCATCGGCGCCGTTACAATCACAAAGTGGAATTAATAAAAAAAAAGTAGTTTACAATTTACTTCCAACAAAATCACTTTCGGTGAAACGCTGAGCACAATTTTTTTTCTATTCGCTTTGCAAAAAACACTAGTTTCATGTTTGCGTTGAATATTCAACTGTCGAAACTAAGGTCAGTTCATCGTTTTTTACCTTCTGAGCGTGATAAACTTTACGGTTTTACAGTATTTTGCGGGAAATCTTGAAATTAAAATTTAATATTTACATTCAACCAAAGAATTTGACATATGCAAGCAAAAGTATCATCATATGGACGAAAGCGCCGCCTACATGTCGGTGCCAGCTTTTGAACGCGAATAAAATCAACGACTATTTTCAAAGGAAGGTGCCGAAATTCAGCTTGGCTGAACAGGAAACACAAATTTCTATGAAAATACGTACTTCTGAGAATTTAAAACCAGTTTTCTAAAAAAAATGTACCTGCTTCAAAAAAATCAGCTAGGTTCAGCCTATAAAATCCAAGCCTTTTTTTTCAAAGGACGGTGACAAAATCCAATCTGGCTGATCAAGAAACCCAAATTAAAAAAAAATGCGTACTTTTGTGGATGTTAACCCAGTTTTCTCAACAATCGTGCTTGCTTAAAAAAAATATACCATCAGGCATGAACAAACGAAGGTCTATTCTTTAAAATCTCAGCCTAATTTTTAAAGGATATGAATCTCACAAGAGTGATGAAGGGGTCTAGGGCAGCGGAATCTATGTAAAAAGTTAGCTAAATCACTTCAGGAAAGCTCAGACT